ACTTCACAAAATGCATCTTTTGATCAGTTTACAGAGTCAAGACACATGAATACATGAAAAGCAAATTATCTGAGTACTTTCCACTTAGTGCTATGACTGAATAAAAGCCTAATAACCCTGATTTGGTTTTCAGTATTTTATAACACTACCACCCTCTGCCGTTTGAAAAGAAAAACAATTCAAAGATTTCGCCATTTCTTTCCCTAAAGATAAGTAATTTTAAAAACCTCTTTCGGGGCTGGAGAGATGGCTCAGCAGTTAAGAGCACTGGTTGTTCTTGCAGAAGACCTGGGTTCAAATCCCAGCACCCACATGGCAACTAACAACTGTCTGAAACTCCAGTCCCAGGGGATCCGATGGCCTCTTCTGTCCTCACAGTGAAAGATTTATCGTCCTCTTTTTTTTTTTTTTTTTTTTTTTTTTTTTAAAAAAAAAAAAAAAAAAAAAAAAAAAAAAAAAAAAAACCTCTTTCAATTTATTTCCTGTAAAATATAGTAGTTTGGAGATTTCAGGGTTAGAACAAGGAAAATAACCATCCTTCCGAACACAGCTTCTTAGAACTATAAATCACACTATCCCATATCGAGTTTCATAACTGAATGTGGGAGACACAAAAAAATCTAGCAACAGTAAAAGGTTTCTGAACACATAACCCAAAATTAATTCAGAATCAAATACATAATGAATCCAATGTTTGTGCAGCACTGGCCCATTTGAGATCTCTGTGAGAACAGCCTGGTCTACACTGAGTTCCGGGCCTGCTGGAACTACCGAGAGACCCTGTCTGAAAAAGACCAGAAAAAGAAAAAAAAAAAAAAAAAAAAAAAAGCCAGGCATGGTGACACACGCCTTTAATCCAGAACTCAGAAGGCAGAGGCAGGCAGATCTCTGTGAGTTCAAGGCCAGCCTGGTCTACATAGTGAGTTCCAGGCCAGCTAGGGCTGTGGGGAGACCCTGTCTCAAAAAATAAAGACCAAAAAATAAATAATAAAATAATAAAAATAAATAAAAAGGTAAAGGAAAAAATCTACCTAACATAATCATTCTCATACTCATTCATGATCTACCTTTATAGTTTCACAGCTGAAAGAATTTCAAGATTTAAAGCCCACAGACTTCATTTTTTTAGTTGTACAGTTATTTTGTGATTAGACTTAGTTCACAGGGCAAACAGTCACATTTTAAAATTTTCTATGTATTCTTCTATCTTTTTTTAAAGGGTGTTCCACGCTAACCTGAAAATCACTCTGTAGCCCAGGCTGGCCTTGAACTCAGAGCAATCCTATCTCAGCCTCTCAAGTGCTAGATTATAGGTGCAAGCTATTATATCCAGAAGTTTTTATGTCCAATTCTTTATTTTCTCTACTAAATTATACTATACCTACATCTTTGAAGAATCTAAATTATATACTCAAACTATAACTGAAATACAATCTTACTAAAGTAACCTAAATTCAACTTAAAAAAAAAAAAAAAAACAAAAAAAGCAAGGGGAAGAGAGATGGTCCAGTGGTTAAGAGCACTGAC